ATTTTCCGATGGCGACAGAACACAAAAATATGTTTCGATAGTACATCAGAAACAGAATACGCGTCACTTGTTTCTCGTCTTTTTTTTCGAAATTTTGGTGATGCAAACAGTGTTGATCTCCGCTAAACGAACACGAGGAAAAGAGAATAACATGATCGGCTTCTCTGTTCCTGATGACAAGTTAGTACAGAGACCTACCTTCCGACCTGTAGTATCTTCTAGCTCCTTAAGATGAAAAAGATGAAAGTCTTGAACTACTTGTTCTAGCAGTATCAGCATGTATCAGAAGATACTATCTTCAGCATGTATCAGAAATAAAAAGTTCCTGGCGTGACCACCTCAATTCCAGTATGGTCACCGTACCAGAAAGCCTCACTATTGTTCTTCGGAGAAAAAATGGGCATAGCTACGCTGGAGGGAAGCTTTGGATCGAAGAAAAAACGGGGATGCGATAAAGACTCTGTCTTTTCCTTAACTTGTTGTGTTAGATGATCATCAATATTTCGAGTTGCGGTAGGAGAAGTATTTGTTGACGAGAATGGGTTGAAAAATACCATGCTGGTATTTGTTTTCTGATGTCGTGGTGGTTTCGTTTCTTGGAACAAATAATTCTTAAAAAAACTACTAGCTGGTTTCAAGAATTCAGACGATTTTTTTCTAACCTTTTTAGCTCCAAGTATAGCTTCCACATCTCTTCCAGGCTGCAAGGAAGATGACGCACCTTCTCCAGTCTGCAACAGCAAGGTATTCCAAATCGAGGACTTCTTCTTAGAAGAGTTACTCCGCCTTCCACTACCACTAGCCCTTTGTCCCTCATCGGCAAGCCCGGCACCAGAAGCTTCAGCGGATTCCAAGATTAGATGAGTCGGCCTTCCTCCATCTCGGTCCGCTCATCTGCACCCCTTCTCATTCTCTTCCCATAAAAAGAATACTACGGATGAAACGGGTAGCGAGGTGCTGAAAAGAATGGAGAAAAGCCGACCATAACAAGATCTTTCTCCACAAAGCTTCGTCTTCAGGCGGCAAGGGCGGCCGATTTCCTCCAATTCCATGATCTGCCATAGCATCAGTCTCGATCACCACATCGAAGAGGCGTCGTTTGCCTGGCGTCCGGGGTCCGCACAAGGGTCTAAATGGCACTGCAGAGGTGATCTGATTTCCATTCCCAGAAGGTCTAGTACTTAATGCTGGATTGGCTGCTGGCGCATCAGCTTTATTTCCCTTGTTCTTATCATCAGTCGCCAGCAAAGGGTCTGCTAGTTTCTGTGCGTGTTTCAGCTTATTCTGGTAGCCTTTTTCGTGGTGTTTGCGGTCGATTGCATTACCGGAAGACTCGCTTTCGGGGGTATTAGAAAGAAGCTCAAGATCCTAGGTTAGGTTAGGTTAGGTTGTGGATCCTTCACAGCGAGCCCCACGGGCACACGCTGCTCGCCTCCGCGAGGATGACGGGCGACTACGAAAGTCGACGAGACAAACCGAGGCGGTGACTACGAAAGTCTTGCCATGAGCTACAACCGATACCCTTTTAGAACTTGCATTTTTCTATGTCAAGGTATAATAAGTCTACAAGAGCCTCCTCTGTTCGCAAGGATTTGCACTCTCTAGAATTGCTCATGATGATGCCGTTGCTGACAGCGTCTGTTCGTTGTTCTATCACCTCTGATGATCTGTTCGCTGTTCTATCTATCACCTCTTCATAACTGTCACCGTGGTTAGAAACGACATTCCTTGCTTGCTCACGCGTTCAAAGAAGTCCGTAGCCGCCAAATTCGGCTGCGCGGTTGCGGATACATAACTCGTCGGCCTATCATACGTGAAAACTGCATTCCATCGGACATCGGTTGGATCTTCTACGTTGACGACTTTGACGCGCAACCAAGTAAATGGCTGCCGCATCTCAATCTCCGGATGGGAGGTGAAATTTTCGACACGACTGGTAATGATCTCCTCCGGAAAGTGAGTATCTGCGTAACCGTTTTGCCCTAGGTAACCGCAACTCCAGAGAACGGGGTCGGAGAAGGCTATGAAAGAGGCGGGATAGAGGAGAGGAAAGAGAATGAAGGAATTACATAATTACGCTAGGTAGGTAGACGAGTAGGACATTGCAGAATCTATTAGGTGTGCAACATCGAGTAGTACATTGCAAAATTTATTACTTAGGTGTGCAACATAGATGGAAAGGTATTTACAACAAGGCAAAACATGAAACTAAACGACAGACAGCTAGAGCCTATTAGGTGTGCAACATATGATTCAAAACACTAGCTGTACGAGCTACATCTGTTACAGAGTATTCTCGTCATAAACAAGCTACTGCTCCTCACCCAGGACCGATCGCCACGGTACCTTATCACTGCTTCGCTTCTCCTCACGAGATTCGACTTGGCAACTGGGACGTCGATGTAGGGTGGCTCGGTCTCTCCAAACAAAGACGACGCAGAAGAAGCGGTGGAACTCCCGCTCTTCCTAGAAGAGTTTAGCGTATTGGGAAAGCGAACTAGAACACCATGATTGTGATTCGCCGCAGTTGTTGTACTAGAAGATGATGGCTGTTGTTGTTGTTTTTCCCCAGTGGCACTGGCACCACTTGTACCAATAGAAGTACCAGCACTGCTACTAGCATCATGATAGCTCTCTGTTTCACCCTCAAGAGCAGGTGGAACAGCATCATGATCGAACTCCATAGCTCGACTGGCCACTAGAACAGTACCTTTGAGTCCCTTGGTCAATGCTAACTTGTAGTCTTTCAGCTTTTCCTGATCCTCCTCGAATAGCGGTTTTCCTGCGAGTTCCTTTGCGCCGTGCTTGAGGTAGACTTGCTCGCCAGGTGTAAAGATTTGGTTCTCCTCGATGGAAGAAGCCTTAGAGGAGATGCTACGGTGGAACATAAGATGATGAAGACAATCAAGTTTGTTAGCCAAGACTAAAGCTGAAGCAAGCCGCCTCATCTAAAGTTGAACATACAGCACTCGAGCACCTTCAACTAACACGTACACGTAGAATAATTTTTTATAGGGGTCCCAGATCCGGGATGGGATGCATCGGATGGACCGGATGAAACGGATGGACTTCCCACCATTTCAAGGAGGATCGGAAGAATCAGGGGGGTCCATCCGATCCATCTAAGTCCATCCTACATCCGCTCTATAAACTATTCTATAACAGTAAGTACAAGCATCATCATCATCCAAAAAAGAAAAACCATCGTTCATAAATCCTCCCGCTGCTCCGCTTGGGACGCCACCCGGTGTAAACGCTCCTACCGGTACTGCCATCGTCGACGATCCCAATTCTCTTGGTCTGCATTCATCATTCTCTGTCAATTCGCACAACCGACCGTCGCAGTCAAACTTACTCTTCACGTCACATACACTCCGACACTTCGACTTTGCGATATCGAGGATAGGAAAATTAGAGCTAGTACCGCGTTCGCATCTTGTTCCTTCTCGAGAGTAAGAAAGAGTATCCGTGGAAGCGCGGCAGGCTTCTTTTTCCAGTAGAAAAAGAGTCCGAGAGGAAGATGCTGAGCAGGAAGTTTAGAAGTTTAGAAGTGGTAGCCATAAGAACAGGCGCAACGCCACGTCGAATGTCGGAGACTGCAAGTTGCTCTTCGGCGGTTAGTCCTGGAACCATGGTACTGGACCTACTTCTGCTGAAAACATTGGAGACTTGGGACGCCGTGTTGGAGGCGCTCGATTTGACAGTAGAGGCGATACTGCCAAGAAGAGATGAAGAGAGAGACGAAGAGTTTGAAGAACTGCCTGAAGCTGAGCCGTCGGCATTTGTTCCATCTTGCTGTTTTTGTCCACTGGTTCCACCGTCAGCGTCTTGTCCTCCCTCTGCTGCTCCATAATTGTCCTTGCGGCCCCATTTACACAGATTCCAGAATCCTCTGTATTTCGCAGCTTCGCATTGACCTTGGTTAGAGCTGTCCGTAATTCATCTTTCAAGTGCATCCTTGAAAAGTACTATGGGAGAGTCCTTTTCCCTGCTTAGGTGGATACTCCTCGTCCATACATTTCATCAACGATGCAGGAGCGTCCAAAGATGTATTAGGTACAGCCTTAACTTGGTTTGTGGCCAGAGCGCACTTCCAAGCAGCACTACGTGTGCCGTCAGGCCCAGGTCTCACTGAGCCGCCATCTACTGTGGTTGTACGGAGGCCTCCATCTATCACGTCGTCCACTACGCATCGGTGTTCACGTCCAGCTAACCAATAGTGGAAAACCTGGTAGGGGGTGGAAGAAGCTCCGCTGGTGCTGTCATCTGTTGAGTCGGCAGAGCTTGAACTTGATGTGTTCGAACTTTCGTCATGTTGCGGTAGCTCAGTGCAACGAAAAGTAGAGCCGCGGGGATTGAAGCTGTCTGTCATGAAGACAGCCCTGTCGATGACGCCGCTGAGGGAGGGCATCTCTTCGGCTCATTTGATGTGTCTAAGTAGTTGTTCGCGTTGGCGTTCCTATCAGTTTCATGCAGCTAAAAAGAATAGTATTCTTCACACTTCAGCACAGTTGACGTGGATTTCTGTTGGCAGTGACAGGGGATAAGCACTCGAACGAGACCGATTATAGAAGACAGAATTATAACTAAGTAGGTACTACACAAGTACCGAAATTTCACCATAGCATTCTACTACATGGATCTCGCTTGACTCGACGATTGTACCGATTATTGAACTGTAATTTAACTGATCTCAAAACAGTACTACTATCTAGTCGCTCTGCCGACTCTTCAGGGAGATAATGTGCCCGAGTGACCGATAAGTCGACCGAGGTTGAGTTGGAGGGTAATCATTTACTTTTCACATGATGAGTCTGCAGCATCATTCGCGCCTCATAAACGGTGTCAATATGTCATGAAAGACGTACCAGACAGGGGAGGATAGCATGAGGGGTAACGATAACACAAGTGCCGCAATCATACTCCTCCAACCTACGACACAGTTCCTTCCTTCCACTGACAATCGCTCAGACAGGAGTGCATCGACAATACGCCCAAGCCCTTATTTGTGGATTTGATATCAGCAGCGCTCATAGCTGTTAATAGGCCTACGGCACAAACGATTTCCTTATTTTCCGCTACTATTTGGACGCATGTTCCTGCTGGCACGTCTTCCATAGCACCTCCGGTTGGGTGGGTCAGTAGACCGGGACAGCACATGAGTTTTTTTATGCACATTTCTTTACATGCTGTACAGAAGTATGTGTGTGATGTGTGTGGTTCTTAGTAATAGGAAATTCCTAATAGAAACTTCCTATGGATCATCGATGACATACTTTCTTGGAAAGTGGTATCACTATCACTATTCATTCGAAGTTAAAGTTTCATATATGATGTGATTCCTACTAGACTTATCTTCGTGCTGTAACTGTGCAGCAACAGTGTTCTTCTAATTGGGTGATAATCGTCGACGATCCGCCGCAGCGTCGCGCAAATAAATTGTAATCTTTGAAAAGAAACGGAAACAAATCCTTTTACTTTACATTTCCCTCTAGCTAATTGTAGTCTTTGAAAACAAACGGAAAGTAATCATAAACAGAATTTTATTTTTCTCTCGTCTAGTCTAGGAAAGTCTAACTCTTAGCTTAAGCTTAATATAAATTTATATATATCATTGGGAAGGAGGACCTATAATTTCAAATATCGCTAGATGTCGGAACGAAACCACACCTGTTTTTCAGCTCCTTGGAAATTGCAATGTAGCACAACATTCCTTTCTCCTCCTGAAGCTAATTTAAGATAGTATTTTGTAAACGAACGTTTAATTTAAGATAGTATTTGCTACTACTAGAGCGATTGCGATCCCTATAGTCCAGCACAAACACCAGATCCACCTCCAATGACCTGTAAGTGTCGACGTCGAGTTGTCACAGTGACACTGACAACTACCGCAGTTCCACTCTAATCACGGTGACAACTACCGCAGTTCCACTCTAATCACGATGACAACTACCGCAGTTCCACTCGTCTAGTCAGAGCTACTACCGCTTCCACTTCCGGACCCAGATCCGCTCGATGAACCGCTACCACTTCCAGACCCAGAGCCACTCCCTCCACTGCCACTGCCACTCCCAGATCCAGATCCAGATCCGCTGCCACTCCTAAGGTTAGAGCAGGTCGTTTCTCCGCAGGTCGTTTCTAGTAGTAGTTGACTAGTAGTAGACCTATTGTTGTTCCCATCTTCGCTATCTAGCAGACATGATAGAGAAGATAGAAGTTGTATGCTTTTCTGTAGATGAAAATGATAGGTGGAGGTGAAATGAATAAAATGATGGGTGGTGGTCAACATCAAAATGAATTCGCTTCGAACCCTTAACAGAGCCACTCCCGCTCCCGCTTCCAGAACCACTGCCACTGCCAGAACCACTGCCGCTGCCAGAACCACTGCCGCTGCCAGAACCACTGCTGCCAGAACCACTGTGAGATTCGTCTTCTTCCCTGTCTTCGCTGCCACTCCCACTGCGAGATTCGTCTTCGTCCTGCTCTTCCCGCATTAGAACTTTCCGTAATTCATCACGCAGAAGAATCCGTAATTTTGAAGAGTATTGCATGGAGGAAGTACTCCGCCATACTTGTCAAGGATGTTGGAATCAAAGATGAATTAGTGACAGTCCTCGTAACTGCAGTCGCTTCTCTCTCTCCAATTTCGCTAACATTCTTGCCATTTTCTTATCCTCCTTTTCCTTCAGTTGCGCACGGATTCTGGCCTGTCTCTTCCTCGCCTTAGCTGCCTTGTTTAGAGCTCACTCCCCTGAAGATCGTCAAGATGATCTTCTTGGGTACTACTACTACTACTACCACTAGCGACAAGCATCCGGCTAGTGAGTCACCTCTTCGTCCGCTTGAAGATCAATTTTCTGTCCTTCCCAGGATGACTTCTCAGAACAAGATCATGGACTATTAAGATTAAGATTAGGGTTGTAACAAGGAAGAAGTGTAACATCAAGTTGTAGGGTTGTAAAAACAAGTGTAAATACAACAACAAGTAGGAGCCATAACTTGTCTCTCGCTTTATCCTTGTTTGCTTTTCTTTTATTTTTCAGTCGCTGCAATTCTTCTTCAACTTCCAACTCCTCTTGCTGGATCTTATCCATCACAGTCTTCTGATCGTCCTCGACCTTAGAACAAGTTGCGGAGTTAGCACATTCCTCGGAACATGATCCTTGAAGTTCCTTCCAACTTCAGAAAGATGCCAAGGAGATGAATGATCATGTTAGTGCCGATGAATGTACTGTGGAAAGAACCCTTAACATGGATCACCCGACCGCCGTAGGTTACATCTCCCACTTCGTCCCTTTTTAGAGATGGAGAGACGAGGTCATGTCACGTCCTCTACTTCTAGCTGGTGACATTATCATTCAGCTTAGTACTAGTGATGTACAACTATTTCTATTATTCATTATAATGCCAAAAGAATCTTGAAGCTTAAGAACGACGAGTAGTAATATTTAGTAGTTTATCATCTAAAGATGAAATTATAGATGAAGAAGTTGTAATATTTTTGTCCTTGTTCTCACTGAGACTGAGGTTCATGAGTGGCCTTAACTTCACAGCCTCCAGGTAGACATTTTCCGCTGCCATTTTCTTCTTCTTAGCTCCTGTTCGTTGTAGTCAAAAAAGTGTAAATGGTTGTATCGTTTTTTAGGTTAAGTTTTCATGGATCCTGCACAAAAATCCGCCCCCCTGGGCACCAGAAGATGAGCATCAACATAGAAGAAAATCAATGGATGATGGAGTTCTAGTACTAGAAGTTCATGGAGTTCTAGTACTAGTTCATTCATACACCTGTGCGAGAGGTGGTGTCCAGAGTGTGGGGACTCATGTGTAGGTGCCACGGGAATTTAATAGTCCTTCAGAACGAGCCCCGGCGGCTGAGGGCAAGTTCTGAAGGACTATCAAGTTGTAACATGAAGGCTTCTACTCAACGTTGTTGGTCTGCTTCTGGATAGCTGAAAGGCTACTTATTTCTAGCTATTTAGAAGTAACAGCATCAAGAACAAGATGATAATAAATGTGACATATAGAGGTACCCGCATCAATATCCTGGGTGAAATCTGGCAGGTCGTGCATCACCACTTCCAGCGACCGCACGTAGCTCATGTGGCGTAACGCTCTCCTAAGCAATTCTAATCTTGGGAGTTTAGAGCGAAATATTGACCATGCGAACGAGGGACCAGACTCAGACAGTAAGCCGATATGAGCTTCATCGCCAACATTTGGTGAAAACTAGTAGCAGAGGTAGAATCAGAATGGATGTATCTTATCAAAGCAAGACAAAGCTGCATCAGGCAGTCGTTGTCCCTCAAGCTAGTTGCTCCTTAGGCTGCATAATCAACCACAAAATTCTCCTTTTGTTCACGAGAAATACATCTGCAAATAGAAATTATATTTATAAAAATTTCCTTACCAACGGAGAACTTGAGAACCGACCAGGTTGTCCGTTTGTAAAAGTTGTAACTTAGTACCCAGCATGAAAATTTTAGGAGCGTTACTTCTTTTATTCATTCACTCATTCATTCGAACCACGTAGCAATTACAAGTTGAAGTTGTCCGTGTTCTTCATAATTTTAATCACTTTCGGAAAGTTTTCAGCAAAAGCAGGACCCGAGGAAGACTGGTAGACGTGCTGCACTAACTCATATTCGTCCAAAAGCTGTGTCATTGCCGCCATCTCTTTTCGTATACCTGGAACGGTCAGCGTTAGAAGACATTTACTGTCATCTACATCTTACGTAGAAACTTTCATCTGCATCTTATTTCCAGTAGGAGTGGAGCCCTCACTAGAAGAAAAGCAAAAGAAAATCAAGTGCTTACCAGCCTCATTGGTTTATTATGTCATAAATCTGGCATATCAGCCTCGAGTAGCGGGAGGGCTTTGGCTGCTTCGAGACCTGCGCGATAAGCAGCCTTGGCGATATCGTAGTCTTCCGAAAAAAATCGGTGCCGCATACCCGATATTAGATAATGCACACCAAAGAAATGAGGAAAACATCTTAAACTTTATGATCTTCATCTGTGTTTTTTCATGTGCAGATCGACGTAGACGTATTGAGGAACGTAACAAGTATGCTACAACGGTTGTAGCAGAGACAACAATAGTGATCATCAACACTTCTATACGTAGAGCATATACTTAACTGGAGGCAACATTTCTACGGAGAAGATAGCAACACTTCTATAATGACATTAAGATGTACGATAAAAAGTGATAACTACTAAAAAAAATTAAAATTTCTTGGGCATCAATATTTAAACAAACAATGTATGACTATGATAACTACAAAAGCAAAAGCATCTACATCAGCTTCAGGTTCAGCTTATCCTTATCTTCAGTCATAAGTAGAACAGTTCCGATAGTTTGGCAACTTCTTTTTCCAAAAACTCCCGATTCGACCGAGCTCGGAAAGCAGGATTTGGTTCTCCCGTCTCTGGATCGAACTGGACGTGTGTCTTAAAGGTCTCAGTGGTCACTGATCATTCTCGTCACTGTTCATTCTGAAGGGACAAGGGGACCCCCTACACAGCACGTACACCTCTCTACTTCCTTTCAACATCCCTGTTCGATCTCAGTTTTCCCTTAGTCGTCCCCTGTTCTCTCAGGTGGGTGTCTCCGCTTTGGTGTCAGTTGGTGTCTCCGCTTTGGTGTCAGTGGGTGTCTCCGCTTTGGTGTCAGTGAAGACCAAGGAGTCCCAATGAAGACCACTCCCAGCGAGCCCTCTTCGATAGTATCCGCCGAAAAAGAACAGGACCTCTCTCAACATCGACCACTAAAAGTTCTTGAGCCTTAACTGTCATGCTCTGATGTAGCTCGTTTCGTAAGCGATCAGCCAACTCTTGACCAGCGGTTGGGAATGAAGAAGGAGTGTACTACTTCTATGACCATGGTGCCGGTGGTTGGCAGTGACCGGAAGGTGGATTGAAAGGATTCATATTTCTCTGCTGCATGTGTTTGGAAATGTGAAAAGGGAAGGACAAGAAGAAAGTGAATACTTAATTAAAGGTGCTAACAGAATTGAGGATGAGATTGTAGCTCTTCATAAAACAAAGTGATCCGTACTGTGCACGCGGGTTTTCTGCCCAAGGCTAGTCCCAGGCTGCGACCCACCAATGGCCATCTTTGCAGCTGCGAGACTTCCTGTTATCATTAGAGGAACGGAGAATTTTTAAAAGAAGTGGATGATGAAGTAGTGGCCTATTACACATAGAAGCACATTATAACAGTGAAAGTAACCACACCCAGATGAAATGTTGGTCAATCATCTTGACAGAGGAGCCACGACCTTGCAGAGAAATATCTTCCTTGGTGTGAGCATCGATCTTGGTGCAGCAAGCATGCTTCTTTTCCCTTGAAAAGGAGCGGGAAAGCATCTTCCTTGCTATGCTCAATGGAGTAGGATTTCTATGAACATATTTCCAATTCCATTTATTCCCCATGCTGCCTTAATACCAGATTGTGATAGGGCTTGTTGAAGCTCCTACTTTTGCTCTGAAAATTTCCGTTTCCTCCCTCCGCTGTGAAAACGCTGCTTCCCACATTCTCCATGGCCACGGGGGAATGAAGCTTCTATAACGAAAATAGAAGAAAGTGTCTATTCTGTCCTGAGAGTGAAGTACAACATTGATCACTAACCTTGTACTCTAACAGTTTCACCACGCATCCATAAGTATCTCTGGCCATCTGACCTCCGTTGGACTCCCATGAGGCGACTTCGCCTTCTCCTCTCATAACCCTAGCATTCGACTTCTTCCAAAATTGCGGCAGCAAGGAAAAATGTTCCAGATTCCAGTACTATGAGAGAAACAACAAGTGATGTACTCATTCAAAACGATTCGTGTACTCAAGAAATCAGCTAAGATTTAGTAGTTAGGAAAGAATCTAATTTTCAGAGATGACAACTCTGAGTTGCATGTGAACAACGAGCACTACACCTAGACCACTTACTTTCTTTTCCAGGTCATAAATACAACCTCCGTATTTCTCGCATTTCCTCTAGAGCGTCGACTAGGATTTCTAAGAGGTGGGTCTTATGTCTCACTAGTCTCGCGTCTTTTCGGATTTGTTTCGCCTCATACACAGTGCAGAGACTCAACATCTGTTCTAAATCGTCCAAAACGCCACTTCGTTCTCGGAGGTAGGTGCCGTACTCATCCCGGAAGCGTTCTTCGTGAGCGGACCCATCGTCATGTCCTAATTCTGCTTGCATTCGCTTCACTTCTCTCCGAAGGATACTGTCATTCTCGGACTCCTTTCTCATGATACGTTTGCGCAGCGTTTCCGTGGATTAGACAACGTGGAGAAGTCAACGCGGCATAGGGACTTCTGAGGTCGTGAGCTGAAAATGTCAACACCTGCTAGCTTTTTACTAGAAGATCTTAGTGCACTCGCCATATCACCAAATGAGCGTCTGGTGCAACATTTCTCGCATATCCTCTTCTATCAAACGCCTTTCGCTGTCCACGTTATCAGATAGTTTTTCTGCGTTCACGGACAAAAATTGTAGTTTTTGTTCCAGGTTCCGCTTGTTCTCCATGATCTCGGTATAGGACAGAGCCGCACTCCTTGTAAAGGTTTCCTCGAATAGCAGAGCGCCACCAGGATTGCTGCCATCTCCTAAAAGCCCGCTCGATCTGGCTGCTACTCTTAGATAGACATCGTAGAGCAGGTTGGGGATCACTCGATCTGGCTGCTACTCTTAGATAGACATCATAGAGGTTGGGGATCACTCGATCTGGCTGCTACTCTTAGATAGACATCATAGAGGTGGTTACTCTTCTAGACACAGTGGAAGTGGTCTACTCCTATCGTGCCTGCTGCATCGTCGAGGCCTTATTTTTCGTAGACGCCCAATGTTGAGCACAGCCGAACTAGTATAGCTCAACCTCAGACTACTTAATCAAGCACGTCGCCTAATGAGCAGCAAATATACAAAAGCCTAATCAAAACTAAATATAGAGTACTAGCCGATCTTCATTGGAATCCACTTGTCACGGGTCACCAGATGAAGATAGACTTGAGACTTAGACTTTCCATCATAATTTTTGATTCCTCTTTTGCATTTTATCCACGTCTAGCATTGAGCGCAGGAGGTTCTCGGGATCACCGCAGTCCAGCACCTCAAGTTCTTCTCGTGTTAACCGTTCATAGGCAGCTTCTTTCCCTATGATCTCTCAGTCTTAGATGAAAAGTCTATAAATGGTTCCGGTATTTGGTAACCTGAATTCGATCACAAGGATTCTCTTCTTGTTTTCCCTTAGGATCAAAATCAGGCTACCGAATACCAGAACCATTCAGTCTAACAAGTGTTGAACGAGCAGGAGAGTGAGCGTGGTTGCTCGAAATTTTCAATACATGATCATAATTCAATGTCTGAGCCCTCAATTCCAAATGGTAGTTCGCCGCCAGCGCCAATTGCCAGAACCTTTCCAAAAAAGCAGCAAAGGCGCGCTTGCTCTCAGGTACATTCTCTTGAAACAAAGATGGCACCGCATCTGCTCTCTCATTAGGATCGTTCAGCGTTAGACCTACCGCGTTAGCATCTTCCTCTTTGAGAGTCATGACATCCTCTGGGTACTGCTTCTTTTTCAAGTAGCAGAAAAAGGCCCAAGAATGGTGCTAAGAATGCAAATGCTTGTTTCGTTGCCTTAACAGTGCAATGCTGGTTCCCCACATTTTTCTTTCCAGTTCGTTTTCTAATCGAGTAAGGTCTCTGTCCCGTCTGGTTGGCTCCATATCCGCCTTATTGAAGACACCCTCCTCTGCGGTAGCTGGAAGTTAGAGCTGTGTTCATTTTTGATTTTTCATTGTAATAAAAAGGTGGACTAGAGTGGTAAAGCACGATGCAATAATCTCTTTTCTCACGGCCGAGACCGGGTGAGTGGATTTATAATCAGAGCAATTTCTAAGGTTTCACATCTCGCATGGCATGGAGTGCATGGATCACATGGAGTAGCATGGAGCTAAAGGGCGGCTTCTTGCGCCCCTTAAAGCTCTGCGCTCCATGCGCTCCATGCTACTCCATGCACCATGCGTGCCATAAACTACTCTGCGTATAATAAGGTCCGAGAGTGAACTGGATCTCATCTCACTCGCCAAAGGCCAAACTTTTCAAAAAACCCAAAACTTTTGCCCAAAGCCCAAACTTTTCCAAAAGCCCAAACTTTTTCCCAAAGCCTAAACTTTTGCAAAACCTCAAACTTTTGCAAAAACTCCAAAATTTTTGCCAAAGCCCAAACTTTTCCAAAGCCCCATAATTTTTGCCAAAGCCCAAACTTTTGAAAAGTCCCAAACTTTTTGCCAGAGCCCAAACTTTTTCCAAAAGCCAAAACTTTTCCCAAAGGCCCAAACTTTTTCCAAAAGCCCAAACTTTTCCCAAAGGCCCAAACCTTTTCCAAAAGCTCAAACGCTCCCCAAAGCCCAAACTTTTCGCCAAGCCCCAAACTCTTTCGTTCCAAGCGCCAAAACCTTTCCAAAGTCCCAAACTTTGCCCAAAGAAAAGCCCAACCTTTTCCCAACAAGTCTTAAACA